AAATGTTATTTTAGAAAGCAATAAAATTAAAAGCATAGCTTGCAAACTTGATCTTGGTATTGAGAGGATTTAAGATTGAACTCGTCGCTAGGATTGAATGTATTAGAACTCGATGTAAGTCTCATTATTCCTTAACACATCAATAGAGTGAAAAAAAAAACTTGAATTTTAATAATAAAAATCGATTGTGCCTGAGCTTGACTTGTGGGTTGACGCACCAAAACTAGGCATGAATAATTATTTATGCCTGAACTCGACCAACTAGTGTGCAAGCTCGGTGTATGAGAGAATATGCCCTTGCGAGTTCATTGGTAAGAAGAGTAATATGAAATCCTTGGATTATCCAAGTCTCGAACTCATCAATAGAAATATTATTAGCACTGCACTACCCTTTTTTCTTGAGCAAGCTAGCTTAATCCCTTCTACATGTAGGGCAAGCTTATCGCTTATTGGACCATGGAGCGAAGTCAGGCAGTGCCTTACATCAAACCTTAGCTTTTGTGGGGGTAACCACCAAGACTTAAGATCTATAAGGAACTCATGCACTACTCATTACAGATCATATCGGAATGGGGAAAGTCAACCAAAAGGGTTAGCTAATTTATATTAAACTCGTCGTCTTCTTTATTGGGCCTCACCTTACTCCAAGATTTACAGCCTTCATGAGGGTAATCACCTAGACTCACTAGCTATAGGGGACTTGCGTGTTATTATTTTGAAACATATCACAAAGGGGGAGTCGGCTTATATGGGCATTAATGGTTTTATGTAAGAGCTTGGTGTTTAGGTTTTCATGAATGGGTATCAGTGATGAATAAAGTGAGTTAGCCATATTTATTTTTGACATATGATAATAAATTTTTAATAATGAGACTAGATTCTCTCTCTCATTCATCTTATTTTATTATATCAAATTTAAATAGGGAATTGACCTCGCCTAAGCAAAGACTTCTCATAGGGCCTTTGGCTCGCCTGCAAGATTTTGTTTCTGTGGTTCTCGACTTTCATATAAGTAGTCTAATTTGCTTGATCAACACTCATCTATGTCAATTACATTTAGCAATTGCCAAACCATGCGCCTTAGGCTAGGGAATTTTTGTTCCAACTCTTGGGAGCACGTGTAAGGTTCGTGTCGAGTCACCCAACAATCAAGTGAATGCAAGTGCACCTTGTGGAATTTTGATCCATTAACTCACTCATGCGAGTTCCTAAGGGTAGGAAAAATGAGCTATATGAGCGAGTTTTCTCATTTGCATTCTTAGGGACACACAAGTTCCTCGAGCGTCGCTCATGTATAGGGGTAAGTTCCCCCAATATTTTGCATTAATGTTGTAAATTTCTAAGTTATTGATTTTTATTTACTTATACTAGAACTTGCTCCTTTAGAAATAGTAAAATAAATGGAATGGAAAATAATGTTCTGTTATTGTTGTTTAGTAAAAATTTGTAAATAAGATAATATAAGTACGAGGACTCCCCTATGGATAAAAGATTATCAGATTGTCGGCGACAGAGTGAGGTTGCCCCTCATTTTGATTTCTCTCCCCTTAGATGGAAGCTTGCCAACTACATGGTAGGTAAACACCATAGCTCTGAAATGTTCAATAGAGGCATACCAAAGATAGGGTTGTAGGTTGATAGGTCATCCATAATTATGAAGTCAACTATTGCAGTGTATCGGTGGTGTTCCTCACCCTAATGATGGGTAGGGAAAGTACTTCAATCTCCCTATGATCATCTGGGAAGCCATATAACGAACCTGCAGAGGAAGTGAGCTAAGAAGAATACAAGTTTATCTTTTTAAATGCAGTTCAAAAATTATATTTATAAAACTCCTTGCATCTATCAGAATATTGACGATCTAATAGTTGTCAATTATGGAAATGATCAAGTTGATGTCTTTAAAATGATTCCTTAATATGGGCTTGTTAACTTACCTAAAAGTGACTAGTAAGACATTTGTCGATGAAGCTAGCGAGGTTGATGTTGGGTTGACCTCCTTGATATTCATCTTCTTAGCATTTGTTGTCAAGTTCACTCGCTCTCCTCCCATAATTACAAGCACTACTCTTACAATATGCATTAATGCCTTCAACTTTTTTTCCATGATAAGTACTCCTATAAGACCTTGTAGGTGAAAACCCTCCTCCATGCATGGCCATGGTCCCTGTGAAAATCAGAGTACCTCAAAATGCCCTTGATGTGCATTATCTCCTTTATGCGCATTGGCTCTTATAGAACTCCTTATTCTGGAAAACCTCAACTAACTTGACCAAGATATTTTCAACGAAATTTAGGTGAGATATGTCAGTGGACGACATGCTAGTTATTCATGGTCTAGGTGAGTGATGTAAGTTAGCACCTCCACACTTAAGAGTGGGTGGTGTTGCAATCCTCAATGGCCTAAGTGTAGGGGCGCCCTTAGATGATCAGGGCAATGAAGAAATCATGATGGATGGGGTATTTGGTCCCTATTGTCCCTGGGATGAACTTTTTCATATCTCGTTATCATTTTTGCTCCCTCCTAGGAGTAACTTCATATTATTATATTCCTCGGCATTTACATGGTTGTTGGCCAATTCAATAGCTCAATGAGCATTCTTGGCTGCTGCTGTCCATAATGAATAGGAACCTCTTTTAGTCCTTGGGTCAAGGCAGCTTGGATGACTATAGGATTTAGGTCTTTTACTTCAAGCATTTTCCTCTGGAATTTCTCTATGAAGTTCCCTAGTTATCCTCGGGCTCCTACCTCATCTTGAGGAGAGAAGCTCTTTTAGGATTTTCTAACATCCTTCTGAACTCCAAGGAGGTGGAGTGAACCATCATAATGTCGACTCTTAAGAGTTGAGAAGAACATATGACATTTTACGACATAGTCAATGTCTAAGAGGGTGGTCATGGATTCAAAGGTGATAACATGGTTTATTAGGTCAATCGAGCCCATATAGAACTCTAAGTGTGTCACTTCAAACTTTAAAGGTGACCATGCTTCTGTGGTCTCCCATAAGAATGTGTTAGTGAGTTTAGGTTCGATTCTTTTAACTCGCCTGATCAAAATACTCCTTATCACTTGTCAAGGTGTGAGAGGGATAAGGCATTGGCTTCAAAGCCAGTGCTCTCGGTCATACAATCTCCTATGGTAGATGGTCGAGTTAAATGAGCCCTCAGGTGTACTATTCATTCATGCTTGTCCTTGGAGCCCGTCTCGTCTAAGGCATCTTAGATCGTCTTCATTATCATCTCCACCATCTTCATTAAGTCTCACAAAGTAGTCTAGTTATTATCAATATTCACTAATGGTTCGATGGCACCTGACTTGTTGAGGTTCACCTATTTCCTCATCTCTAGCATCCATTCACTAACCACATCTAAGAGAATGTTGAATTAAAATTTATCTATAAATGACACACAACTTGACTAATAGTCAAACCCTTAGAGGAGTGACCTGAAAATTATGTAAGAATGAAGAGAAAAGACAATGCTAAGAAAAAGCTAGAGAAACGTTATAATAATAACCTATATATTAACTACTACTACATATGATTCGTCCATATCATCATATACACTAATTAAAGATATTTAATGAATTGATCCTACATCATCCTCATATGAACAAAAATCTATCAGTGTAATCGTATTTAGAGAAATAAAACACATATAGGATATCAATGTTGAATAAAAGTGGATGTTTTATTTAAGAAAAAAACAAGATCCAAATTTGTTAATAGTTTAGTTATAGGAATTGAACTTGTGGATTGTGTTCCACAAAAGTGACACAACACATCTAGTTTCAAATTAAATTGATTCTTATCAATAACTATAATAATGTATAAGACCTCATGAGATCTTCAAGCTAAAAATTTCTTTTTACCTTCAATCATTTGCTTCATGTTTTAATAAATATCCAATCAAATTGGATGTCCTCTTTTATTTTCCTTCATATAATACAAAAATATTGCAACTTGATTCACCTTTATAATAGAATTAGTCAGCATATAAATTCATGGTTGTTAAAATATATTCTCAAATCATAATCAAACATGATTTGAATCATGCCCATACCTAGTTTGATCATGGTTCAAACACATTCTAACAAGCCACATTCAAACCATATTCAATCATGACTTGAATAAGTTTCGAGCATGGTTCAAACATGATTATTAAAAAAGTTCAAATATGTTCTAACAAGGCTCAAAAAAGTCTTTTCGAATTGTATCAAACTACGTGTTAGATCTCCATCAAAATAATATAATTTGTCATATGAAAGAAACATTAAAAAAAGTACTCATGTCTGATTAAATTGCTGCTAAATTGAATTTTTCAATTTAAGCTTCCTCGTTGCGGCCGCCTTGCCCTGCTGTGCTTGTAAAATGCAAATGAAAGGAAGATAAAAAGCAATGGAGAAAGCTGAATTTGATGTGGGTGGAACGTTGTTCTTCCTATATAATGAGAATATAAGCATGGTGGCAGTATTTTGACTAAAATAAATTTTTGGACATTTTTCTCTAAGAAAATAAATGACGGGTATATTTCAATAGCACAAATAGTTCTAGGGTCAGATGAAAATACTTCGCGTCCTTCATGCTGGTGGAATCATCTTATACACTTGAATTTCAAAGTCAGCCTCCCAAGGCTTTTTTTCTTTTGAGAAAACAGGAGAAACAGAATCACAACATAGTTATCATTTTTTTTTTAGAAGGGAACGATCCTAACGTACAAATTAGCTTACAACTAAGGCTTCATTTGGGACGGTTTTTTAACTACTTAAAGAAGCTTTTCAGTACAAAATTTTTAATTTTTGTACTAAAAAATTATTTTAAGAGCAGGAAGAAAGCTGTCTCAAAAAAAACCTAAATCTAAAAAAAAAAGAAACAAATATCCATACAACAAAAGAGAAAAAATAAACTTTAAATTTTCCTTTCCTCCGACATACTGCATTTGTCATTGGACAAAACACAAGAAAGAACGTTACATGAAGTTATGAGAGCTAAAAAACACAGTAGATCACAATCAAAAATCAATCTATAAAGAAAATAGAAAGTTAATATGCCTATTTAGTACAAAGAAACAATAACACACATAAGACCTAACCAAAGCTCAAAAACAATTGGATAAATCACAGTAATTCTAACCTTGAATATTATTTACAAATGAAGTTATTGCACCTGATAACCATAATAGATACCAGCGCTTCCAAAATAAGAATATAAAAAAACAAACACCGAAAAAGCTTGAATAGATGTGTAAATGAACGAAGAGGCACCTGTACATGAATCGATTACATGAACTTGAAGTGATGACTACTAACATGATAAGAGGGCAACCACCTTGCTTGCTGGAGCTTTTTCCCGTTTCTCGATATAAGCAGATGGGAACCAGCCAGCTTTCCCCTTGCATTCACCCTCTGACCATCCACTTTGAGTTGCCTTTTAATTCATAGCACGCCAGGAAAAAAGATCAGTGTATCGAAGAGTTTGATGAGATAGAACAAATATGAGGTAGATGTTATTCATTGAATGCTAAGTGAAAGTGAGAAATAGAATGAGTGGATGTATCTCTCTCTCTCTCTCTATTTCTCTCAATAACTCATTTAATGCACACAAAAATTGTAGAAACCCACTGAAATTTAATGCGATGCATTTTAAAGGACAATCCAAAACCAGTACATCAGCTGACTTAGGGCAGTTTTTAATTATATTCCTCAAGTTTCAAGGAACAAACACTTCTATCAAGAACAATGATGAAGAATATGATATTTGAACTAGTATTCTGACAGGCCTACTATATCTATAAGTGATAAAAAAAAGGAATTTAACCTATAATGAAATAAACTATAAAATTGAATTAAAAGAGACTCCTAAATCATATCAGGCTATAATTATCTGAAAGGAATAAAATTAAAAAGATATACCTGACGTACCACAACGTAATCACCAGCCGAGATGCTGAGCTCGCCATCTGTCTGAGCATCGAAGGAGTGAATAACCTATAGGTAGATGACGATGAGAATCAAAAACTTTTTGTATGATAAAATAGTGATGCGTCCAACTATCAAATTCCTAAAATTAAAATAAGAAATTAAAAAAAAAAAGGATGACAAAAATGTCATACAAAAGCTACCACAATAGAAGCTCTAGGCAAAGCAAATTTTGCCAAAAGCTTCAGTAAGATATGAAAACCAAAGAAAAAAAAAAAACAAAACAAAACAGATCTGAAGGAATTGACGCAAAATATAGTGGTTCTAAATTATAAAGGAAGCTCAATAGTTGTAGAAGCATCATAAGGAGAGCGCCCACCAAACACCATCTTCTTTATTCTTCTAAGAGAACATAATAAATGCTGCCTAAAGACACCGAGAGAAAACTGCTGAAAGATTTCCCTAACGCTAGGCTGTAGCACCTAAAAGTCAAAGCGGGAGCACATTTCCAAATCGATATCCTATTCTATTACTTTTTTAAAATAGCCACAGAAGAACCATCATAAGCTTTCATAATATTCATCATTATAAGCTTCATCTCAACTCAAATAAGGTAAGCTTTATGAATCCACGTTGTAAGTTCATTTTATTGGATAACGCATAGGTATCAACTCTATTTAAACCAAATCTCTTTGCATAATATGTAAATTGCTTTTTAGCTATATATCACACCCAGATGGGTAGCCTATTCCAATATCATTCAAACTGGAAAATTGGTCATTCTAATGTAACCTTGGAGGGGCTGATTCAAGGCTTTCATTTGGTGGGAGTTTAAGGATGTGGGAGAAACTCTTGAGTGGTTGAATTATTTAACACTGCCGTTGCCAGGTCCCAAGTCCTGGATGAGAAAAGTGGAGGGTTGCGTTAGGTAGTCGACAGCCAGCGTAAAACTTGTCGAACAATAATGACATGAATCCTTTAAGAAATTGTGTTAATGCTAGGGCGTCCCCTGGAAGCGACGCGCTGTATGGCCTGAATACAGTGACAAGTGTGCAAGGGCCGCTGCACCGACGCCCGGGTGCAGTGTTAAATAGGCAAGGGTTCCCACATCAAGGACGAATGTGGGCAAAGAAGCTAGTCCATGAAACTAAAATTAGGATAGGAACTTGGAATATAGGTTCTATTACAGGAAAATTAATGGAATTAATAGATATTATGATTCATAAGAAGTTAAATATTTTGTGCATTCAGGAAACTAAATGGGTTGGAGAGAAGGCTAAAGAAATTGATAGTTTAGGATTTAAACTTTGGTATTCGGGTATGAGTCGTACTAGAAATGGTGTAGGTGTTATTATAGATAAGAGTTTAAAGGATAATGTTATAAAAATTAATAGGATTGGAGATAGAATTATAGCTTTAAAGATTGTTGTTGATGATAAGATTGTTAATATTATAAGTGCTTATGCTCCTCAAGTAGGTTTGGATATGAGCTCTAAATTAAATTTTTGGAATGACTTAGAAGAATTAATACAAAATATACCTCTTGAAGAAAGAGTTTTTATTGGAGGAGATTTAAATGGACATGTTGGTAGAGAGGTAGATGATTTTAAAAGCATTCATGGTGGCCATGGATTTGGAACGACGAATGAAGGTGGCAAGACCATATTGGATTTTTGTTTAGCTTATGATTTTTCAATTGCTAATACCTTATTTAAGAAAAGGAATGAGCATCTCATCACTTATAAAAATGGATATAATACAACCCAGATTGACTATTTTCTTATTAGAAAATTAAATCGTTTAGATTGCAAAGATTGTAAAGTTATTCCGAGTGAAAATTTATGTACCCAACATCGATTATTAGTTTTGGACTTTAAGATAAAGGGGCATAAAATAAAAAATAAAGTAAAACAATTTTCTAGGATTAAATGGGGGCATTTAAAGAATATTAACAAAAATATTTTTGGAGATAAGATTTTAGATCGTAAGATTTTGTCTGTGCATGAGGATGCTAATATTATGTGGGAAAAAGTGGCTAGTGATATTAAGAATATTGCAAAAGATGTCCTTGGAGTATCAAAGGGAAAAGCTCCCAATAGTAAAAATAGTTGGTGGTGGAATCCAATCGTGCAAGAAAAGATAAAAAATAAGAAGCCTTGTATAAAAATTGGTTTAATTTTAAAATTCTGATATTGGAATATATAAAGTTGCTCGTAAGATGCTAAGAAAGCCATATGCGATGCAAAGACATTAAGCTTTTAGTGACTTATATAATAGATTAGATATTAAAGAAGGAGAGATACTGTATAAGTTAGCCAAACAAAGAGATAGAGTAGTAAGGATTTAGTTCAAAGTGAAGTGTATTAAAGATGAAGATCAAAAAATATTTTCTTAGAAGAATGATATTCAACAAAGATGGATGAGAATTTTTTTGCTAAACTTTTTAATGAAGATTGTGAAAATAAGATTGACTGTAAGTGACCTTAAGCGCCTAAATGAAAATAAAGATTTCTATTTTTATCGGCGTATTAGTAAAACTGAAGTTAGAGAGGCTTTAAAGAAAATGAAGGGTGGAAAGCTGTTGGACCTGATGATATCCCAATAGAGGTGTGGAATGCTTAGGAGATGAAAGGAATTTTCATGGCTTACTAAACTTTTTAATACTATTTTTGAAGACTAAAAAGATGCAGATAGTGGAGAATGAGTATGCTATTCCTATTTTTAAGAATAAAGGTGATCACAAGATTGTGCGAATTATAGAGGTATTAAAGTTAATGTGTCATACTTTAAAACTATGGGAGCGAGTTATGTAGCATAGTTGCGGCGTGATACTAATGTTTCTCAAAATCAATTTGAATTCATGCCGGGTAGGTCGACTATGGAAGCATACATTTATTAAGAGATTTGATGGAGAAATATAGAAGAAAATAAGGGGTCTACATATGAATTTATTGATTTAGAAAATCATATGATAAAGTTCCAAGAGATGCTAGGAAGTTCTTGAAAAGAAGGAGTAATAATGCTTATATTCAAATCATTAATAATATGTAATGCAGGAGCTATTACTTGTTGTTCAAACACAAGGTGATGGACCAAGTATTTCCATTTCGGTTGGGTTACATCAAGGATCAGCTTAAGCCCATATCTTTTGCTTTAGTCTTGGATGTTCTTCACTAGACATTTGCAAGAGATGTACCTGGTGTATGCTTTTTGCTGATGATATCTTCTTGTTGATAAGACTAGAGAGGGAGTTGAAGGTAAACTTGGATTATGGAGGTCAACCTTAGAGTCTAAAGGTTTTCCGCTTGAGTAGATCTAAACGGAATATATAGAGTGTAATTTTAAGTAGTAATGACCTACTGAAGGGATTGTACTTTGGGCGATCAAGTCATTAATAAGAGTACACGTTTTAGATATCTTGGTCCAATATGTCAAAGTGATGGTGAAATAGCTGGGGATATTATCAGCAGAATTCAAGTTGGATGGTTTAAGTGGAGGAATGCATCGGGCTGTTATGTGATAGAAATGTACCCCTCAAACTTAAGGGAAAATTCTATAAGATGGTAGTGAGGCCTGCAATGCTTTATGGTGCCGAATGTTGGCCTTTAAAAGAGAAGCATAATACTAAGTTAAGTGTGGCAGAGATGAGGATGCTCAGGTGGATGAGTGGCTTTACCCTTAGAGATAGGATACAAAATGAGCATATACGTGAAAAGGTTGGAGTAGCTTCAGTAGAAGATAGAATTAGAGAGAGTCGCCTTAGATGGTTTGGTCACATAAAACGACGGCCTTTCGATGACCCGGTTAGGAGAGTAGAGGTATTAGATTTGACTTATGTGAAGAAAGGTAGGGGTAGACCTAAAAAGACTTGGTTAGAAAATATTAGGAATGACCTTTCTTTATTAGGTTTAAATGAGAATTTGACTTTAATAGAACACAATGGAGAAAAAGGATTCATGTAGCCGACCCCACGTAGTGGGATAAAGGCTTGATGTTGTTGTTGTTGTTGTTGTTGTTGGTTGAAAGGAAAGGGTAATCAAAAGATAAGTTCATGGCCAACCCTTGAGCTCACCTTGGGGACCACTTGGGCCAAAGGTTTCTTATGGTATCGGATCCTAGGTATGGAACCACTTGGGCAAATTAAGGTAATGTTTTTAGACATGATCTTGAGTGGTTGGTGATGTTTCAATGATTTAGATGACATAGGATGGTGAAAAGCCAAGACTAGGTCAAGGGGATCTAATTTAGACAGATTTGATTAATCTTGGAATATTGTGTGAGAGGAGAGGTTTAAGGGTGCATGGATGGGCTGGAATGGCTGCATATTAGAAAAAATGTGTGGAGAGTAGATCTAGAGTAATGGGTGATAGAAAAGAAAGGTTTAAAGCTAGGTCAAAAGAACTTTGTTGTGGCGGATAGCTTTAAGTGAGATTTAGATTTTTTTTTTTTATTGGCCTTATGTCGTGGCGAAATGCTTTGGGATGATGCTAGGAAGATGTGCTAATATGCTATGAAAGATTGAAAAAGGGATCAACAAGAATTTAAAAGATACATATTGTCTTCCTACAAGAAAAACCCAAAAAAGGAGGTCAACCACCAAGTTCTTAACCCTTAAAATTTCACTTTTCCATCTTTTTTGGAAAATTTATTTTTTTTTCATTCACTCTAGCAAATATTTAAAGCATTACATCAGCTCTAAATTTTCAAAATTTAAAAATTTTAAAAAGGAAAAATGATAGGAATTACTAGCATTCACAAGTATTCCTAACCCAAATCAGTAAATCACAACAATTCTGTTGCAAGGGGGGGTCAACTCAAACCCAAAATAAGTTGGATTTGACTTCCCTTAAGCTTACAAGCTCAATGAAATTTGAGCGGGAATTTAGACTGGTCTTTAGTTCAATTATTGAACTAAGGGTTAACTCATTATTAGCTAAGTTTTAGTTCATAGTTATCTTTTAATTAATGTAATTTTATTATAATTTTTTATGTCTTAATTTATGTTGTCCCTTGGGATTCCAAAATGGCTTTTGGAATCCCAAGAAAGTTTGTTCTCCCATGCCGTGGCT